ACTGCTATTGCGTTAATTCCAAATTTCAATGGGGAACCTTCAATGCTTCCTTCATTTATTACTGCTTGCGATGCATTATCGGTGGATTTGAGTCCATCAGAAGCGGAAAAATTGCTTACAGTTATAAAATTAAAATTAGACCCACAAATTTTTGCAAAGATCCAATTTATTAATTTGAAACGTGGGATGATTTAAAATGTTATTTAGCTAAAGAATATGTTGTAAAACGACCCATTTCTAGTTTATTGAACGAATTGAATAATTTAAAACAAAAATATAACGAAACAGTAAAAAGTTTTGGAGACAGAATAGAAGAAATTTTGCGACAAATTTATTACTCAAACGTAATTAGAGTAGGACATGACTATGCAACAACAACACAAGTGACATTCGAACAAGTAGGCATAAAAGTTTTTGAAAATGGCTTAACAGAACCTCTAAAAACATTAGTAAAATGCTGTCGATTTTCTGATATTAAAGATGCTATTGACTTCGCTTTGCAAGAAGAAGCTTGTCAAAATTCGTCAAATATCAGAAATAATCAAAGTAATAATATAATATGTTACATTTGCAAAAAACGGGGTCATATTGCTCCACAATGTTTCTTAAATAAAAAGAATAACGCTAATTCAAATAATAACCAAAAGTTTTGTAATTATTGTAAAAAACACGGTCATTTAATTTTTGAGTGTAGAAATCCAAATCGAAGAAATTTCAATACAAATCGAAATAATTTTAACATGTCAAAAACTTTTATTACCCCTACCAACGAACACCGACAAGAGTGCAACTATTCGCACACACATGCAGAAAATGCAACAAACAACATACCCACAGAATGTCAAACTGTTACGAAAACCAACAACCACAAATTCCCAAACCCAAGATCCTAATCCAACGACACCAGAAAACGATACAATTACTGTACGTGAATTACTATCACAAATTCCCAGTTCATTTTTAATAAATAAAACCGACGGAAATAAAATAAATTTCGAAAACAAAAATGTTTCGTTACAAATTGAAAACAAAACTTTTTGCACAAGACCAATGAAAGAACAAGACTCAAAAAACGAAGAACAACAATTAAAAGACAAAGATGAAATCAAAGAAAGACATGACAAAAACGTTCCAATTTTAACAAAATCAAATAACGAAAGAGAACAGAAAGACAAAATTTTAAAAGACCCACAAATTTCACAAACGCACAAAATGCAATCAGACAAAGTTTTGACAAACAAAAGTTCAGAAATTCAAACAAACAAAACGATCAAAAAAGTTGAAGAACCAGAGGTAGTTACAGTCACAACTACTACCAAACATCCTTATCAAAAAACCAAATCAAAGAAATCTTACGACAAGTACATGAAACCGCAACGAACATTTAAAAACGACGATTAGAATTAATAACGGACAAAAACCCTACGCAAGTAAATCCAAAAAACTGATGCCTCTATTTAAAGATGCATACAGAGTTTTTGAGACAAGTGGTACAGGACGGATCATACGGATCAACGACAAAGGACAGCAAACTGACAACGATTTTTTTTTGCGAATTGAAATTTACAAAAACCAAAAAATGAAATAAAAATTCCAATTGTCAAAATAGACAACAAATTAAGTTAATATAAATATATGCAGGGCCGGATTTAGAAATTTGGCGCCCCGTGGCACTGACAAAAAGGCCGCCCCATCCCTGAAATTTACAAACTTTCGAACTTTTTTTAAAGTAATGGCGCTGCTTTAGCTGCGAGGGACAAAAATATAGAAGCGCGTAAGCGCCGCGTCGCAGTCTAACGGATAAACAATGTTACAGAACTTTATATAATGGAAACAAAATTTATACTTATTATTATAATATCTTTAAAATATCTGATAATTTAATGTGCATATGTCTTATGATCACTTTTGTCCGCCAAATGTTTTTTTCTTTTCTTATTTTTTTTTATTGGATCATCGAAACCGCTATAAAATATATGCAGGGCCGGATTTAGAAATTTGGCGCCCGGGGCACTGACAAAAATGCCGCCCCATCCCTGAAATTTTACAAACTTTCGAACTTTTTTTAAAGTAATGGCGCTGCTTTAGCTGCGAGGGACAAAATATAGGCGCGTAAGCGCCGCGTCGCAGTCTAACGGATAAACAATGTTACAGAACTTATATAAATGGAAACAAAATTTATACTTATTATTATAATATCTTTAAAATATCTGATAATTTAATGTGCATATGTCTTATGATCACTTTTGTCCGCCAAATGTTTTTTCTTCAATTTTTTATTGGATCATCGAAACCGCTAAACCTGCCCCCCACAAATTTAAGCAGTTATTTATTTTGTAAATTTTTTTGAATGTTATTGGACGCTTTTTCTCAAAAACTGAATAATCATTTTTAGCATTTTGGCCCGTATCATCAAAACTGTTGGACCTGCCTTGACCAATAACTAATCAGTACGACTCCTTATCAATAGGAATTGAATCATAAATCGGTTGATCCGTGTTCTCAAAATCGACTTGAATGATTAAAAAATATTAGATTTGTATTGATGGGGAGACGTGCTGATTAGCTTTTGGTACAGGCAATTACGAAAAATGATAATTTAGTTTTGATATTTCTTCTCTGAAACAGCTACGCAACGCGATTGCTTTGCAAAAAGTTCGAAAAATTTCAAAATACAAAAAATGTGTTTTAGAAGTCTTTTTTTCATTTTTCAATAAAATTTAAAGCTCTTTATAAAATGTAATTTTCAGTACAGGATATTTCAGTAATTTGTCTTAAGGCACAATGCCATGAGTCACTAGTTTAAATACTTTTTTCGACGCTATAAGCTTGGAAGTGCACAAATACGTCATTTTAAGAGGGCTCGAGAACTGAAGAACATATTTTTCTTAAACTTCCAGCTTGTTTACGGATCTTTATATTAGCCAAATTGCCAAATTTGATAACTTATTAACTAATTTGATAATTTACGTTCGGAGAGGGAGGCAAGGCAAAATAATAAATTTTAGTTATCGTTTATTTCAACCCAAATTTTGCATTGTAATCGTATTATGTTTTGTTCATTATATTTCTTGAAATAAAAAATGTTGTTAAAAAAGTTGATTATATTGTATAGAATTTTTTCTCACTATCCAAATTTTGCCGCCCCCAAAATTTGCCGCCCTGGGCAGTAGCCCCGATTGCCCCTACTGTAAATCCAGCACTGAATATATGAATTAAATGTTAGAAAGAGATAAAAAAAAATAAATTAAAATAAAATTGTCACAACCAAAGATCTCAAACTTTTTTTCACAAACATTAAATTTACAATGTAAATGAAATCAAAGTTTTTTTAAGAAAAAAAAAAAAGAACATTGTTATATTATAAGCCATGATAATTATTGTAAAACTGTTTATATATTATTAATCAATTGAAATGTCATATTTTGAAATATTATAAAGATGTTATATAACTCAACTGTAATCATGAAATTTTGAAAAATATTACCATTGAAATAAAATTATGCTTAATTGTAAATTCATGATATTGTTCTACAATAAATACAATTTTTGAATTTTTTTTTAATTAATTAACATTTTTTTTAAATTTTTCGAAATTTCATGAAAAAAAAATGTATTTGAAATATTATATGAACTTTAACATTATATTAATTATATCCAAACAAATAATTATAAGAAATCTGTACAATGTAATAGCATGAGCACAAACATTTTTTTGAAGCACCCGAAATGCTTTCTTTTGTGAACGCACGAGGGCGCGCGTTTTTTCGGCGGGTGAGGTGTAGTGGTATTCACCCTTATAATAGTTATAAATAATATTGTAAATTGATGTAACAGTCAATATGAACGACGCAATTAGTATTGCTCATAGTTACATTGTAAGCTTGCAGTAACCTTGCAAGTGTTGATAAAATTCCTTTTGAAACCGCAAACTGTGTCCGACGACCAAGTAAAGCGTAGTTTCTGACTCACATATATCGTACATTCTAGAAAAGGAATGCGTCATACCGATAAGGAGTATTTAAGGTTCTGGATGATGCAATAAACGGTCAGTTTGAGTCAGTATGAGTATGGGTCAAGATCAGTATGGGTTAAGATCAATATAGTTCAGTTGTAATCCAGTTATAATAAAATTCAGTCATTTGAGTAACATAAAGTAATCAATGGAGTTATATTTAAGTTCAGTGTTCAAATTATATGAAAAGTGTACAAGAATCATGAAATAAACGTAAACATCAAAAGTCTTCATCTGTTTTACTGATTCCATTTCACATTCTGGTACCAGCTTGATACTTAGCAGCAGGAAGAACCTACATTTTGTTGGCTCCGTCGCTGGATGGGGCACAACACTTTACCTTTCAGAGATTTCAGAATATTTTGGCATACCTTAGAAAAAATTGATGTATGTGTGTGTGTGCGTGTGTGTATGTGTGTGCGGATACAAATTTTCGTCGACGGTTTCGGGAACACCGATCAACCGATTTGAATAATTCAAAAAACATTCGATTCGTATTGATAAGGAGACGTGCTTATTAGTTTTTGGCGAAGGCAGGTTAAGCCGTTCCGGAGATACGGGGCAAAAAGTGCCAAAAATGGTAACTCAGTTTTTAAGAGAACGGAGCGTCCGATTTTAATAATTCAAAAAACATTTTACTTGTATTAAAATCTAATTTTTTCGAAGTAATTTTTTTCAAAAATGTTAATAGTTTTTAAAAAAATAATAATTTTTGGTACGGGAAGTTCCAGCAATTTGCCTTAATGCACGATGCCATGCGCGCCACTAGTTTTCGATTTTTTTGAGATTATTATGACTATTACTATATTACTATACGGGAAGTTAACAAACGCAGCTGTCAAATAATCCAAAATTAGATTTATAAACAAAATAACCTAAAATTACGTTCCATTCTCCTAATCAGCTGCGTTGTGATTGTGATATGTTTACTGTTTACAGCGTTTGACATATGAGAGGTGCCAGCCGTCCAATCACCGACGCTCATGACGCATTAAAGAATGTCGAATCATACGAACTTCGGGCACGAATTCATAAACACAGATAAATAATAATTATTCACAGCAAGTATAGCAAACGCATTTGCGACTGAAAATTCGGCACAATCACTTCGAACTTTCTCATAATTTATAGTGTTTATAAGGAATTAAATTTATCGCACGCATGTTTGTTTTGTCTTAAAACCAAACAATGAATTACATGGCGGTTGTGCTACTGTCATTGGCTATTATAGGTAAAGTATAAAATTATTTTTTTTATTATAAATATTCTCTCATTTATATTATTAACAGTGTCTATTATTTCTCTCTATAGGCTTTGTTGCCAGTAGCCCCTTGACAATTATCTCTAGCAATAATTTGGGTGCCAAGCAATGTACGTGGGGCCCCAGCTTCTGGTGCGGAAACTTGACGTAAGTTTTTGACATAATGCGTATTTTATAACTATCTGTCTTGTCAAAAGATTTGTTTTACATTTGGCATTTCCCTAATTACGCATAGCACATTGAAATGTGTTATTTATACTACTGAAGCGTATAAAGAAATAGTGATGCTTTTGAACCACATCAAAATGCATTAATGGAAATTAACATTTATCCATATCGTACCATTTCCTATCATTAGTTTTAGATTTTTATTGTTAACTGCGCACCTAATTTTCAGTTAGGCTGAAAATTAGGTGCTTCAGTTAGCTTATAAATAGTTCTTACCTTTCCTTAATTACACATAGAACATTGAAATGTGTTATATTACTTATGCTACTAAAGCGTATAAAAAAATAGTGATGCTTTTGAACCACATCAAAATGCATTAATGGAAATTAACATTTATCCATATCGTACCATTTCCTATCATTAATTTTAGATTTTTATTGTTAACTGCGCACCTAATTTTCAGTTAGGCTGAAAATTAGGTGCTTCAGTTAGCTTATAAATAGTTCTTACCTTTCCTTAATTACACATAGAACATTGAAATGTGTTATATTACTTATACTACCAAAGCGTATAAAAAAATAGTGATACTTTTGAACCACATCAAAATGCATTAATGGAAATTAACATTTATCCATATCGTACCATTTCCTATCATTAACTTTAGATTTTTATTGTTAACTGTGCACCTAATTTTCAGTTGCTTATAAATAGTTCTTACCTTTCCTTAATTACACATAGAACATTGAAATGTGTTATATTACTTTTATTACTAAAGCGTATAAAAAAAATAGTGATGCTTTTGAACCTCATCAAAATGCTGGAAATTAACATTAATCCATATAGTACCATTTCCTATCATTAATTTTAGATTTTTATTGTTAACTGTGCACCTAATTTTCAGTTGCTTATAAATAGTCCTTACCTTTCCTTAATTACACATAGAACATTGAAATGTGTTATATTACTTTTATTACTAAAGCGTATAAAAAAAATAGTGATGCTTTTGAACCACAAAAATTTATTAATGGAAATTAACATTTATCCATATCGTACCATTTCCTATCATTAATTTTAGATTTTTTATTAACTGGCACCTAATTTTCAGTTGCTTAAATAGTCCTTACCTTTCCTTAATTACACATAGAACATTGAAATGTGTTATATTACTTTTATTACTAAAGCGTTAAAAAAAATAGTGATGCTTTTGAACCTCATCAAAATGCTGAAATTAACATTAATCCATATAGTACCATTTCCTATCATTAATTTAGATTTTTATTGTTAACTGTGCACCTAATTTTCAGTTGCTTATAAATAGTCCTTACCTTTCCTTAATTACACATAGAACATTGAAATGTGTTATATTACTTATACTACTAAAGCGTATAAAGAAATAGTGATGCTTTTGAACCACATTAAAATTTATTAATGGAAATTAACATTTATCCATATCGTACCATTTCCTATCATTAATTTTAGATTTTTTATTAGCTGCACACCTAATTTTCAGTTGCTTATAAATAGTCCTACCTTTCCTTAATTACACATAGAACATTGAAATGTGTTATATTACTTATACTACTAAACCGTATAAAAAAATAGTGATACTTTTGAACCATCAAATGTATTAATGTGAATTAACATTTATCCCTATCCATCGTACCATTTCCTATCATTAATGCTAGATTTTTTATTAACTGTGTAGCTAATTTTCAGTTGCTTAAAAATAGTTCTTACCTTTCCTTAATTACACATAGAACATTGAAATGTGTTATATTACTTATGCTACTAAAGCGTATAAAGAAATAATGATGCTTTTGAACTACATCAAAATGCATTAATGGAAAGTAACATTTATCCTATATTAATGACCATTTTCCTATCATTAATGCTATATTTTTATTTATTAAATGGGGTGTGCACCTAATTTTCATTGCTTATGAATAGTTTTTACCTTTCCTTAATTACACATAGAAACATTGAATGTGTTATATTACTTATACTACTAAAGCGTATAAAAAAATAGTGATACTTTTGAACCATCGAAATGTATTAATGTGAATTAACATTTATCCCTATCGTACCATTTCCTATCATTAATTTTAGATTTTTATTAAAACTCGCACCTAATTTCAGTGCTTATAAATAGTTCTTACCTTTTCTTACCTACATTATATATATATATATATATATATATATATATATATATATATAAAATATATATACATGGTCTGTTCAAAAAGTACCCGGAATTACTAATAATTAAATTTCGCGGGTCTGGAGTGTCTGATTGTCAAAATTTTTTTTTTATTGTGTTGGTATACATGCCCCTAAAGTATGATGAAATTTTCAGCTATATTCACTGTTTACTTTGTCTGTGGTAGTCGCTAAGGTTCGACGTGTTTTTCTGAGCTCGGCGATTTTACAATGGAAGAATTGAAAAAGTCAAAGAATTTGTATTAAATTTTGCGTAAAAAATGAAAATAAAGTGTTGCAAAGTGCAAAAATTCACCAGATATGGCTCCGTGTGACTTTTTCCTATTCCCCAAAGTTGAAGAGACCCATGAAAGGACGGCGGTTTTCCTCGATTGAAGAAAATCGCCGAGAGTGCTCAAGGACATATCAAAAAGTGAATATCAAGGGTGCTTCGAAAATTGGAAAAAACGCTGGCATAAGTGTATTATATCTGGGGGGACTACTTTGAAGGGGACCACATTAATGTAGACGAATAAATAAATATTTTTTTGAAAAAACGAAAATTACGAAAACTTTTTGAACAGACCTCGTATATATATATATATATATATATTATATATATATACATATGCAAACAATACCCAAATGTGTTTGTAGAAAATGATATGTGGGAGATAACACAGTACAGGGGAAATTAACTCTCCTTGTGATTCATATATGATTGCTTTAAACTCATGACTAATACATTATTTCAGAGAATGATAGTCAATCTGTATTAAGTTGTTTGCAGCATTTGTATAGGTTATATTAAATTGTTTTACTATATTTTATGATAAATTTATTTTTTCATAATTATTTAGAAATAGCAACAAAATTAATTTACTTAAGATAAATTATGACTTGCAAGCAGCGCTATATTAAAAAAATTGTTCTGCTTACATTAATTGAATTGTTTACATATCATTACTAGGATTAGATTTATGCATATGTATAATCTGCAAGAATATACTATTTCTTATTTCTTTCTGCAAGAATATACTAAGATTTATGAATATGTATAATTATGCAAGAATAATTTTAGTTCTTGTAAATTCGATTTTTGTTGAAATTTAATTTTTCTTCATGGTTTTAGTTCTTCAAACATTTTTATGAAGATTTATTTTAATTATTCGATTTTATTTATTTTTTCTACCTTTGTGTTGTTATGACTCACCAATTTATCATGTTGTTTAACATTCTATTTTTACATATATTTATTTTATACTTTCACTCCACTTTTTTTTAATTTTTTCAACAGATTTTTTGTTATTACACTATTATATAGTTTTCAATTATTAAACCATTTATTTAACTACAGAGAAAAGTTTAGTATTGATGTAATATTGATATCATTTGATTTCAGTAGCAAATTTTGGATTTATAAAAACATTTAATTGTAAAACTGCAATTATGATATTGATTATTATGAAAACTTAATGTTATTCAGAAATGCCCGGCAATGTGGTGCTGTCAAGCATTGCATACAGTCAGTTTGGGAACACCAGACGGTTAAAGAAGATAACGACTCTGTATGCCAAATATGTGTTAAAATGGTGAAAGAAGCCAGGGATCAGCTGGAGAGCAACCAGACACAAGATGATCTTCGAGCTGTCTTTGAAGGATCCTGCCAACTAATACACATCAAGCCAATTGTAAAAGAATGTATAAAACTTGTTGATGACTTTATACCCGAATTAATCGAAGCCCTAGCTTCTCAAATGAACCCACAAATTGTTTGCTCAGTTGCTGGCCTGTGCAACAGTGAAAGAATTGATAAAATGCTAGCTCAATCTTCTAGAGAAAGTGTTGAAGTCTCAAAGCCTTTGTCTTGTTCAAATTGCTATGTGGTTGTAAGTGACCTGGAGAACAGATTCAAATCTAAACGTCCTTATGACATTATGACAAGTATGTTACAAATATGCAGAGATATGGGTAGCTTTTCTGATGCTTGCTCTAATACATTACTGAAATACTTTAACAGTATTTATGAACACCTGAATAGTAACTTCAATTCAGAAAATATATGTCATGTAGCAGGAGTTTGTGCTGATAGATATCACACTCATAAAAAGGACAAGGATATAGAAATAACTCCATTGTCGGCAGTGGGTTTTGTTGATGTAGGAGATGACATTCCTTGCGATTTGTGTAAACAATTAGTCCATCATTTGAGGGATATTCTGATTGCCAATACAACAGAATCTGAATTTAAATATGTCATGGAAGGATTGTGTAATCAAACTAAAGGATTTAAATCAGAATGTTTAAGTTTAGTTGACCAATATTATGACAAGATTTATGACTTTTTAGTAAATAATATTGACGACGCGGACATTTGCTTTTTGGCAGGAATATGTCCTAAGGGATCTTTGGTAAGTATTACTTCTAAATATTTTAACATGCCATTTATATTTTTATTCATTAATATTCATTTATTATTAGAATGCTTCAAAACAAGTTCCAATATGGCCATTGTTATCAGTCGAGATTTCGGAACAATTAATGAATTCAGACAAAGTTACAGAATCTCACCGTAAAAAACTCCTAGGTAGTAATGAACCCAAGTTTACTGCTGAAGAAATTCATGCTATGCAGTTACCTGTGAGCAGATTATTTGTTCCGTCTTTCACTGAAATTGATAATTCACATCCTGAGCTTTGTACTTTTTGCGAATATTTCTTACACTTCGTTCAAGAAACTATAACCTCACCAACAAATGAGGTAAGCTGAAATGTTTTGCATTGAATGATTCTGCTCATAATTTCATTCAGAATTTCAATGCAATGTCATGAATTTTAATATAATCAAGAAATAAAATCATATATTTATGAAAAAAATTGAAAAAGTAGCTAGTGGTACATGGCATTGTGCCAATTTGCTAAAACTGCCGTATCGAGAATTAATTTTTTTGATATATTTAAATTTATGTTGTATTTTGAAATTTTTTGAAAATTTTGAACTTTTTTTCAAAGTTAATCGCGCTGCAAACAAAATTTGTTTTAATTAATAAAATTTCTATCAAACGTCTGATCTTTATGTGCATATGTCTAATGATCGTTTTTGACCGCCAAATATCAATGTTTTAAACTTTTTTTTTCTGTATCTTTGAAACTGCTGGACCTGCCTCCCTAAAAATTTAATATATTTTTCATTTCATCAATACAAGTAAAATGTTTTTTGAATAACTCAAATCGGAAGCTTCATTCTTTTAAAAACTGAACAGCTGGACCTGCGTTTGCCAAAAACTAATCAGCACGCCTTTTCATCAATAAGAATCAAATGTTTTTTGAATCATTCACATTGGTTGATCCATGCTCTCGAAAACGTCGGCGAAAGATTGTATCCACACGTACATACATACATACAAACACACAATCATAGGCGCACACACATACATACATTCTTTCTAAGGTATGCCAAAACGCTTTCTAAGGTATGCAACCTTTAAAACGTAAAGTTTACTATAACCCTACAGGAAATTAATACTTTTAGAGACTTCAACTTATGGTAACTGATATGAAAAATATTTATATTTCAGGAATCTATTAAGCAAGCCATTGAACGAGTGTGCTTAAGACTACCAAATGGTGTTCAAGCTCAATGTCGTGCCTTTGTTGATACATATGGAGATGCCTTTATTGCCATATTTGTGCAAGAATTAGATCCATCGCAGGTAATTATACATTAATTTATATTTCCAATTCATTATTTTGTTATGAAGCAGAAAAATAATGGTAAAATATTGTACTTACAATTAAAATTATGTAAATTAAACATAACATTACAAGTGTATGAAAAATTTATCTTGAATCGAAATGCTTATTTGCAGTTACTGGAAATGCATGATCTTATATGTAATGTGAATTCATGAATTTGAAACAATTTTTTTTTACATTTTTTGTGAATAAATGACCTTATTATTAAAGATCTATTGCTACACTTGCACTTATTTTTTCAAGTCATATTAAAAATATGTGATTAATATTAATTATATTCAGGTGTGTCCCAAGTTATCTTTATGTCCAAATAAAGAAGTTGAAGTGTTTGAACAAGAAGATACCAGAGACAAACCAACTTGTCCTATGTGTCTAATGGCTATGTTTGAATTAGAAGAGAAGCTTAAGGAGGATAAAACCAAGGTATTCTAAATATGAGTTTTGGTTTTAATCACAAATAAAATAGATCCACACTATATATTAGTAACATTTAGTATTATTAATATTAATTATTATTGATTAAGTACTATTAATACTTTGTATTAACAGTTTATACTGTTGTAAATTAATCTTCATCTTCACATGTTTACCAAAAATATTAATATGATATAATTGCATCATATAAAACCAAACTTTTTATTCTTCAGATAGTTATATTTTTTTTAAAATTTATTTCAAAATAGAATTTAAAATATTTTGCAGGCAGCTGTTGAGCAAGCACTATCTGGATTATGCAATCATCTTTCTGATCATCTGAAACCTGCTTGCTTAACCTTAGTAAATACTTATTATAATCAATTAGTTGAAATGCTGATGGCTGATTTTAAACCACAAGAAATTTGCGTGTACCTAAGATTATGCCATGATAAGAATCCCGACTTAAGTGAATTGGATATTTTGTGCCAGTACCAATTAATAAGACCCATGATATAAGTACGTATTTTATTAGTACCTGATTTATTATAATATACTAAGGTTGAATGAAATTTGGTACATTCATGATAACTAATGTCACTTATGTTATAACCACAGTAAAGTTAATTTAAATGAGATTTTAGTGCCTTGACTTTTTAATATCAATAGGGTGGATATACTTTTACATTACATTACATTTTATATTACAATTGAAGAAAATTATAGGCTATGCATTTCTATGGTTCATAAATTTAATATATTTATTTTCTATATTTTCAGTGACAAATGAAATATTGGACACCACAATTAATGGTCAAACCATACAGGTTGCTGTTCAAACAAACTTAATTCCTGAAAAATTTTCTGACAAACCGCAATGTATCATGTGCGAATTTATAATGAAGCAGTTAGAAGATGAGCTCAAAGATAAGCGAACAGAAGTACGTATTTATTAGTTTAACTTTTTTGCTATGGTTAGTGCACATAGCTACCGTCAAGTTTGAAAACATCTGGACAATTATTATTATTATGTATGAAAGCAATGCAACTTATTCCATGCGGTAATGTAAGTTTTTAGCTGTGGTATGAAGTGAATGTTCAGCACCAGACATGATATATTTTGTCTGCCCAGATCACGTTACAATAATCATTATTATATTGGCAAAAAATAAAATTGAAAAAGCAAATATAATTATATTTTACATATTTTATTTGTATTAAAAAATTATCTCAACGGTACACATACCGGCCATCTTTATTGATTGGTATAAATGTGTACATCAATCTTATATTTTCTTTATGATTTTTATCTTAACAATTATCACATATTAAAAATATTATACAAAATGTTTTTTAAAACAATTGAAAGGGTGAAAGATAATAATAATGTTTAGTTAATAGTGATTTGAAATAACTAAATTTTACTTTATTTCACATTTTAAAGGAGGACATAATTAAATTAGTGAACAACGTGTGCAAGGCGATGCCCAGAAATGTAAAGCCAGAATGCATTCAATTTGTGCATAAATATGGGGATTTGGTAATACAATTGTTGATTCAAGCCTTACAACCAAATGAAATATGCTCCTTGCTTGGCCTTTGTAATTCCTAATTAATGAATATAAAATGTGAGTATTACAATAAAGTCTAAACTTATTTGAGAATTATGTCGCATGGACACTTTATGGATGTACATTTTTACATATATGAAATTTCTACATATTTTTACTCATATAGACTATATATATACTCGTATATATATATATATATATATATATATATATATATATATATATAATATATATATATATATATATTTATATTGAATATTGTTTCAGGTGCTGTAAATTGATTATGCTTAATATTTTTTAGTTCAAAAATCATATGTAAGTTTAAAAGTTTAAAATCATATGTAAGTAAAATTTAATTTGATAATAAAAAAGTTTAACATATTGAATAAATAGTTCATTATTGTTACCAATGAAGATATTGAATGAATTATAAATAATGTCTCATTAGGATATAGTATGATCTGAAAAATGTGTATATTGTAATATTTAAAAATGTTAATATAAAATAAATCTACTGAATCCAAAATTTATTATTCTAATTATATACTAAATCTTATATTTTTAGTTCTGGTGATAGTGCTATTCCATTGTGTGCAAATGTTAAACTCTAGAAATAAGTATCTATACCAGGAATATATTTTCTTCTGCAATCAGGATTGCTACATTATTTCATATGTTAGTTTTCTCTTGCGAATATAATTACTTTGTACACGTTTTTTTTTTTTCGATAATCATGTTTTTTCTTTCATCAGTTACTACATTCACAGTCATGTTATGGCTTATGATTAAACAATTACTACATTCTTATGATTAAACAGTTACTACATTCACAGTCATGTTATGGCTTATGATTAAACAATATCTCTATATAGCAACTTAGGATTTTGAGATTGTTGCTTTATTAGCTAGAAACTTTTAAAATCAGTCGATTTTCATTCAGAAACACAGAGAATCTGTCAACATCTATTTACAACTAATTAAAATAAAAATAATAATTAGGTGTAAGTGGCAATTGCTTTAAGACAAGTTGCAAAATTTTCCTGATACATGTATATAATTGATTTAATTAGAATTGAGATGTTGCAACTTTTAAAATTGCGATGATGGCACATTATTTCACATGTTGATGAATTTTTATAATTAAACTATTTTTAGTAGGCATATTTTGGGTGTTTAAGACTAGATAATAAATATCATATCATAAAATCATCAAAATCGTTAAATCCTTCTATTAATTATGAAGAAAGCGCTCAACCAATCGACATCTTTTGAATTTTTAAAATCGTTTTAAGATTGTTGGTTAAATGGTAGACAAAAAATCACTTTGCACTTTATCTTTGTTGCTGATTATAAAAAAACACATCCCGGCCGATCGACTAGCTGTAATAGTATTTTGCCTTAAGGCAAGTTGCACGAACTTCCTGGTACGTATGCATAAACAACCTAATCAATAAAAAATATTATACAGATTTGTAAATAAATATGTAAAATGTTTTACCGTTTTTTTCCAAAAATAAATATTTCGCTTTCGTTAAAAACGATTTTCAATTGATGTTTTTGAATCATATATAGGTATAACTACTGTAATTGTATAAATTAATTTGTTTAACATGTTCATTTCGGGTTAACTGTAATCAGTGTCTACCAGCGAAACACGTCAGAACGTGCATATGCATCGGTATAGGATTCTAATTAGAATCGCTCAAAAGCGGGACGAAATGCTAAACTGTTATGAATTTTTATAATTGAACCGCTTATCGCAGACCTATAATAATTTAAGTATATTCTATAAGATCATGATATCTAACATAAAAAAAAACGTTGCGAACAGTTAATTGCAAGAAAACGGTCCGGCCTATCTTTACCAAATACTAGTCAACGCGATTTCCGATCAATATGTTTCGAATTATTTGAATTTTTAAAATCTGTTCCAAATTGTGGGCTAAAACGCGTGGACGAGAAATTTTTCATTTTTCTGATAATTACAAAGTGGGTTGGTCGATGATTGTGGATAACTAATCAACGCGAGTCCTTATCGAGATGCTTCGAATGATTTTAAATTTTTGTTAAAATCTGTTTATTCGATTTTAAGAAAACGTCGATAAAATGTTTAACTTTAACAAACGCCAAAAAACTGGTCACTTTTTTCAAACTTTAATAATTTTTAAAAACTAAATAACTTGTAAGGCCGTAATATCTGGATGTTCTATAAGACCATGATATATATATCGTCAAAAAATGTTTCATAAAAATTGTTGAAAAATATTTTTTTTAACTGTTAATCACAAGAAAAGTGCCCAACCAATCTTCGCCAAAATGTAATCAGTATGATTTCCAACCAATATCTTTCAAACGATTTTTGATTTTTTAAAATCGATTCCGGATTGTGGGCTAAAACGTGGACGATTTTTTTTCGTTTTTCTGCTAATTACAACGAAACGGCCTATCGTCGCAAAAAAAACTGGGAAACGATAGTCCTAATTAAGTTATACCAAATGGCTTCTGAACATTCGAAGTCGAATAAAGGCCAAAAATCGACTCACATACGCACACACACATCATTTTTACAAATTTGGTCTCATTTGATTCAGAATCACTTAAGTGAACTTTCAATTGAAACGCCCACAAACTAAATTTCTCCTTCGGGTAGTTAATCAACGCGAGTCCTCGTAGAGATTCATCTATTGGTTTTTAAAATTTGAAATTGGTCTTTTTATTATCAAGACACAGTTTCTTTAAATTGATTTTAATTTTTTAATAAACGGCGACGAGTAGGGATAAGACTGAAACCGGCCTTCTGTTTCTCTCGTACAAGTTTTCTTTCTTCCCCGTACAGGTTTGACTTGTTGTAAAAAATAAAAACATAGATACAATTTGATGAAAATTGACAAGCAAACCTTCAGCAAATAATGCCATACACTTATTCAATAAAAAACCATCAGCAACATATTAATATGTTAAGCTTAGCAGTTTTGTAAAGAACATGATATACATTAGCAATATTATCCAGAAGGGAAGTGATATTCTTGTAAATATTTAGAAAATACTAATGTGAGTGCTTTTTCAGTGAAAAAATGCGATAATAACGCTCTTTCAAATTGGTCCTAATGGAGCAGCTTTGCACTTGGCATTTAAATTTAGTCGCGAAAGCGTTTGCTTGAAGCATTAAACATCATTGAAAAGTATGAAAAGAAGACAAATATTTTGGAGGCACTTTGTTGGCCCGTTTAGGTGATTTCATACTATATATATATATATATATACGGTGTCCCAGATTGTGATGTCAAGCGAGAACGGGGTGAAACCGTAACCGTGAACATTTCTAGGACTGGCACTAAATTGTGTTGGCAAATTTTATCAGAAGTGTCATCAGAATTGTAAAGTCGTCAAAACTACTTAATAATTTTATTATTGAAAATTTTCGAATGAAAAAATAAGAACCTATACATAACACGGCTAACGCATTTCGCTCACATTCAGTTCAAATGTTTGTCTGAAGCACATTGACTTTCCGCGTATTATAAATATTTGAACTGATCGTGAGTAAAATGCACTAGCAAAGTTTTTCTGGTTTTACTCGGAATTTTTCAATAATACAATCATTAAGTATTTTACCATTTTACAGTGCTTATTAAATGTGCCAACATTTGGTGAAACTTGCCAACACACTTTAGTACATTTTTGTAAGGAGAGCCTCTCAAAGTCGATCGATTTTGAATTTATAGTTCAGCAAAGGATTTCTTGAAAACTCGAAGCGATTATGATTTTTTTTATTGTGATCCGAGAAATGTTATTCACGGTTATCGTTCCAAAGTTTAAATGAACAAAATTAAAGTTAATCAAAATAACTGAAAAATGGTCATAATTTCACCAAAGCTCTAGGTTTCATTTAAAAGTACATAATTTCCAAGCATATGTTAAGATAACTTTTTTTTTAAGTTTTTTCAGGACAGTTAAGGTCAATACTATCACCCCGTTTCGGCTTGTCAAGGTCTGGGACACCCTATATATATATATATATATATATATATATATATATATATATATAATTTAATGCCTATAATCATTCTTCGGATTTTTCAAAATTCTGATTTGTGCGCGTTTTTATTGTATCTCTGCTCCGATTATCAATTTTAGTGTCACCTTTGACCTATTAACCGACATAAGAATCATTATCAGATGACTAAACTAGCAAAATATTTTAACAAATATGTTTACATGCATACATGATTACACACAAATACACACACACACACACACATATATATATATATATATATATATATATATGTATATATATATATATATATATATGTATGTATGTAATGTGTGTGTATGTTTGTACGTATTGCTATGTAGGTAATGTGTGTGTTTATTTATGGGTATGTATTCAAATATATATTATCTTTGTTTTACATTTCATTTTGTATGTGTGCATGTAAGATTGTATTTGTAAATTTGTAATGTTAAGGATATGATAGAATTTGAAGACATTATATTAATCGCCCTTGTGCTAAGAAAATGTGCATAATAATTTAATTGAACTTTAAATAAAAAATAAAATAAATCAGTAATAGCAGTAATAAAATCATTTTATTGTAAGTATTCATAACAAATAAAAAACTAAATTAATAATAATTAATAAGTAAAGAAAAAAGTTTGAAGTGAAGTGGAAATTTAGTATTTATAAAAATTGGTTAAAATAATGTTATAAAAATATAACAAGTAATTGAAATGTAATTATAAAAATAAAAATTTGAAGTTTTGTTATATAATTATTTATACACTTTACGGTAGTGATTACGTAAAGGTTTCACAATTAAGTTATATCATATATGCAAGTGTATTATATTGCGTATGATTTTTATAAATAATTCTGAACTCTTATAAAACATGATTTTATCATAAACTATATTCTTGTTAGGTTCAACAAGGGCAGACAAATACACAATAAAAATGCATAAATTAACTTTAAATAGCATGCAAAAGTCATGTGGATTTTATAATATTGTAAAGTGGCATAATACTTCAAAATGGCAAAAGATAATCTGCAGCAACCCTTCATTTTTGAAATATTCTTCACCCTCGCAACCTTTTTCGAGTAATGCAGATTTTCCAGCGAGACATATCGGACCTCGGGAACATGATATCAAGGATATGCTGGCATTCTTAAACTCTAAGGTCTGTCTACTACTATATAGTGTTATAAGTGGGATCACACATATTACTTGATATTTCAAATTAAAATTAGCAATCATAATCAAATCTCTGGCATATCATCACTGAAACCTAATGTTCTTAAATTAAATAAGATGTAGATAATTATGAATTAGATATCACTGCATGCAATAAATTATATTTTTAGGCAAAGAAATTGATATATGATGTTGTTCGTAGTGATGTATTATAAAATATATGGCAGGATTAATTTCCCAGAAAAATGTGAAATATTGTGTTCTCTACCTCTTAGTCTTTTTCCAAAAAAATTCTATATTTTATGTAACTAAAGATCTAAGATGAAACAAATACTATATACCTATCTTATGATAATTTATTAAATTTTCAGTCGTTAGATGATTTATCTAATAATGCAGTTCCTTCAGACATTCGAATAAAAAAGCGTATGGAAATAAGTGATCCTTTAAGTATGTAAAATTTTATAACAAACATAAAATATTCTTTTCACATACATTATAATTAAATTAAAACATTATTTTAAATTTAGGCGAGTACGAATTAATCCAAAGAATTCGTAAAATTTCTGAACAAAATCAAATTTGGCGCAGCTATATTGGAATGGGTTATTATAATTGTTGTGTGCCGCATACTATTCTAAGGAATATATTTGAGAATCCAGGCTGGACGACCCAATATACTCCCTATCAACCAGAGATAGCTCAAGGAAGATTAGAAAGCTTACTTAATTATCAAACTATGGTATCCGATTTAACCGGCTTAGACATAGCAAATGCTTCTCTTTTAGATGAAGGTACCGCTGCAGCTGAAGCTATGGGATTATGTCATAGGTGAATAACAAGAGATATTTATTAATTTGGAGCTTCTACATTTATAAATTTTAATTTTTAATTCAAAGAAATATATTAAAAGTAATAAGAATAATATTGGTTTACATACGCCTATTTTCAATTATTTTCAGACAAAATAAAAGAACCAAGATATTTGTTTCTAAAAATTTGCATCCACAAACTATTGCGGTTGTTGTGACAAGAACGGATGCTCTTGGTCTAGAAGCTGTCGTAGGTAAAATAAAATTGTTTATATAAACTACTATTTTTTTAGTAGTCTATAAAAATATGTATTAAAATGATATCACAAGAGATTCGCATGTACTCGTATGTGCAAAAAGGTTAATACCTTCTTGTGTAATTTTTTTTTAGCACTGGCGGATTTGCATAGGTAATCAAATTATTATCAATTTGGTTATTAACTATTACATGGTTAATACTTTTGTTAATGTAGGATACAAAAAAAAATTATATAGAACTTTTCAACTATTTTATATATTTAGGTAGTAAATATATTTACGTATTAAATGTAATTATCCATGTTTTTGCTATATTATAGCTTCCGCATTTTATTTATATTTAAATTGCATGATATTGTTTTAAAAATTATTTATTGTTCTTTCGTTAAGATTATTATTAAACTTGTCGTTTATATTATAGGGGACATTCATCAAGCAGATTTATCCAATAAGGACTTCGCTGGAATACTGTTGCAATATCCCGATACTACAGGAGACATCCAAAACTTTGAATCGGTTGTGAAAGAAGCTAAGAAAAATAACGTAAGGAAAGTTTTTAAGACAAAAAATTAACTGGATATATTATGTATATTCATTAAACCTTTGGCTACAAAAAAGTTTTCCACAAGAGCGACACTGCTTTAAGAGCCAGCAGATTGTCAAAGTATTTGTTACGTAAAATAGTTTTAGATTTTATGATCATTATCAATAAAAATGTACGTCAAAATTAAATTACACTTTTAAAAACTCAAAATCACAATGACAAATTGAGATTTCAATAATTTAACACAGAGAGTGATAGATAGTGAAACAAAAATTCGACACACTTTATGTCATCTATAGGCGACGCTCGTACACACAGGTTGCATGTAGGCGGCGCTCGTAGCCAAAGGGTTAAAAATTTACTACTTTAAACCTTTAATTAATATTATAAACTCAACATTTATAGTTAAATATAATACACAGATCATCCAAATTATAATTTGAGTCGATGTCGACGGGAGTAAAAACTAATGTTGTAAAACAAGTCAGTAATTTTATTTCACAATTAGAATAATCTTGTTGTTTGTGTTAACATGTATCCGCTTATCGCAACAAAATTGTATATTAAGATAATCATAAGAAGTAAGTAATAATAAAGAGTAAAAAAATAATTAAAATTTGCACTAATTTATACTTTCTATCTCCCATTTATTCACAAGTTTAAGGGGCACAACTAGTGTGAAGTTTTGAAAAAATCGATTTTTGTTTTTTTTTATATTTCAGTAGATTACATGTAGATTATCATTATTAATCATTATTAAAATTTCAAATTGATATCTCAAATAGTTTTTGAGTTACAGCCATTTAAAATGTAGTTGACAGTCGAAAAACGACCAAAATTTTGGGTAAAATTCGACTTTTTTTTAAAAACGCCGCCATTTTGTCAATTTTTTATTTATTTCTTTTATCGTAGTTCATTTTACAGAAATATTATCTAGTTTAACGAGAATTATTTTTTTTATTTCATCCACGTAGAAGGCCGAAATCACTGCAGCAGTTAAGGGCCTTTTTTTGTCGCGCCGTTGGAGATCAACGATAACTTAAAAACTATTTAATTTTTTTCTTCAAAAAATTTACTATGTATTCTTAAAACATTTATAAATATATATCTAAAATTTTGAAATGATTGATAAAGTAATTTTTTAATATAAATTCCCAAAAATTACCTTTTTTTAGGCGGTTACACTAGTTGTGCCCCTTAATTTTAATTTCGTTACTTTGAATTGTATACGATACGTTGTCTTCTTTATTGCCATATACTATATTGATAATACCTGATAAATATAAGGCTTGGTGATTTATTTCTAGACATTGGTTGTTTGCGCAACAGACTTATTGTCGTTGGTTTTGTTGCGTGCTCCTGGAGAATGGGGCGCAGATATATGCGTCGGTACCAGCCAACGTTTCGGAGTTCCATTGGGATACGGTGGACCGCATGCTGGTTTCTTCTCATGCAAAGAATCGTTGGTTCGTCTAATGCCAGGCAGAATGATGATTGGTGTAACGAGGTAATCTTAAATAAGGAGTGTGGCCTTATTAAAAATTCAGACTTCTCATATTTATAATATTATCTATGGAAAAATGAACATACTGCACAATTTCTTTCATACTATTACAGGCACAAGCGTTTCGGGGTCGTGGTTTGTCACATCATTAGTGTAAATATAAATAAATATTTTTAATTAACCCTTTACGGCCGGATGGTGACTATATGTCGCCACGTTGAAACCTCTAGTAACGATCGATTGCTCATACAAAAATATAGTAAATTTAGGAAAAAGATACTAACATATTACTCTTTATTCAAACATATTGGTATCGTGATCATACCATGGTCAGTGCACAGGCCTCTGACTTATAAAGTTTTGTAGAGCAGCGTACCATTTTGCCTTTGTTTGCCTCTGCAAATTGGGGCAACTCTTTTCTATCTGATTGTATTGTTCCAACCGCAATCTAAGAAGTTTCGTTGTCGCATAACTTTTGCAAATAATAGGCTTCTAAAAAAATTATCTGTCCACAACCTAAATATGGCTCATTCGATTTACGCAGCAAAGTCGCTCAAGAGGATATTTGATGCTTTGGTCTCATTCTTGCCCCAGTAGGGAAAATATTTTAGAAAGTACAGTAGAATCCGATTAGTATGACGCCGGATATATTGACAACCGCTTAATATGACGTAATCGCACTAGGAATTTGGTTTCCATATAAAATTCCTTAAAAAAACAGCTATCTAGTCGGATATATTGACATCGCTTACATTGACATGTCGCTTATAATGACCATTTTTGCAAAAAATATGTCCATTATAATGACCGACATGATTTACATGATGTGGCAAAGTCTACGAAAGCAATTGCTATGTCTTTTGTGCACACTAGCACCAGGGACTGTTTTACAATAAAATTATGTAAAGAAATGAATCAAAAATTACTGATTACTTACATTAAAAAAACACATTTGTATGTTTATGGTAGGGAGAATTATTAATGGCGCACCACGGATATCTCATAAACAAATAAAATTAGATTTTTTTTAACAATTATATTTGATAGTAGAGGGCGAAAAATGTATAAATTCTAACCAGCCATCACCTTTATTCTTATGACTTTACTATCAGAAGATAAGCGGCACATAACTGCAATAAAAAGGACCAGCTGAACCTTTACTTTGGCAAGGTGTAAGCATAAAATAGTAAGTTTAAAAAAAGCAATTTTACAAGAGATTAATGAATAAATTGTTATTGGCTCTTCTGATGAATTTTTCTGACCAATAGCAGATCAATGTAATACACTGTGTTGTCTTTTTAAAAATGTACCCACGAATTAATATTTTGCGTTATTATTTAAATTATAATTAATTATTAATATTTTTAATGTGTCATTTTTATTTTTAATTTAAACGTTTGTATAGGCTTTTCTTTTAAATTACTGAAACATGTAACATATTTACATATTAAAGAGTTTTTCTTCAGTACGCTTTTAATGACGACCGGTTAGTATGACGAGATTTCGGCGTCCCTTCGATGTCATACTAAGCGGATTCTACTGTACTTGCTTCTAACATCTGCAGCTAATCAAAATGTTATTCCCAATTTTCTTGATTCACATATACTGAGTAAATGGGCACAAATTTCAACAGAATAGTTTGCAATAAATAATTTTGCAGCATTAAATGAAATAATAAATTATAACATGAAAACTTTCCCACCAGATAGATTATGACAAATTTTGATGAAAAGAAAGTAAGTTTCGTGAGTCTAAAACAGTAAGACAATTTAACTCGTATCTGACAAAATAGTTATAGCACATATAAATTATTGGAAGTAAGGCAGTAAGGAGGAAAAGAAATTACTCTTTGTATACCGTTTATTATTTCGTGAAAAACCAAAAAAATATTAAAAAAATGACTTAACTAGTGGGACGCATGGCATCTAGCCTTAAGACAAATTGCTGGAACTTCCCGTACTAAAAATTATTTTTAAAGATTAACATTTTTGAAAAAAAAATACTCTGAAAAATTAGATTTTTGAGAAACTATAAATTTTTGACAAAAATTTACTTTTTTTGAAAAGACTTTTTGGAGAATTTATTTTGAAATATTTTGGAAATTATGAACTTTTTTTTCAAAGCAATCGTACTGCTTTAACTGCATAGAGACGAAATATCGAAGCGCATAAGTGCGCGTCGCCGTCTAGCGGATAAACATTGGTACGGAACTCATAGGAATGTAAAAAAAAAATTATACTTATTGTTAAAATCTCTATAAAATATTAGATAATTTGATGTGCATGTGTATAATGATCATTTTTGACCGCCAGATGGCATTTTTTTACTTTTTTTACTAGATTTCCTAAACCGGTAGACCTGCCTTCACGAAAATTTGATCAGTTCTTCATCTTGTTAATACAAGTAAAATGTTTTTTTGAAATATTCAAATCGGACGCTCCGTTCTTTTAAAAACTGGGTTACCGTTTTTCTTTTTTTGCCCCATATCTTCGGAACGACTAGACCTGCCTTTGCCAAAAACTAATCAGCACGTCTCCTTATCAATACGAATCGAATTTTTTTTGAATTATTCAAATCGCTTCATTCGTGTTCCCGAAATCGTCGACGAAAATTTGTATCCGCACACACATATACACACGCGCACACAACACATACATCCATTTTTTCTGAAGTATGCCAAAATATTCAGAAACCTCTTAAACGTAAAGTTATATAAAAATTTTCATTTTCGATTTTTTGCGATTAATATAACTTACCCTACGGGAAATTAAAAAAAAATATTATGTATATATCACATTAAAAGTACAAATTAGTCAAATTGACTCGCTCAGTCATTTTAGTGTTAATAAATAATTTCTTGTTAGGGATGCTGATGGGAATCATGCATATAGACTAGCGTTGCAAACTAGAGAACAACATATTCGGCGGGATAAAGCCACAAGTAACATTTGTACAGCGCAAGCCCTACTGGCCAATATGTCTGCAATGTTTGCAGTATATCATGGACCTGAAGGGTTGAAAAAAATTGCACAAAAAGTCCACAAGTCTACACTTACTTTAAATGCAGGTAAAACATAGATATTATTCTTTGTAGAATAATCATTTGATGTCAATTCATATCAATTGTTTTGAAAATCTCAAACCGTTAAAGTTCAAATGATTTAAATTATGACTTAAGTTTCAAAACTCATAATTGGTTCAAACTTTAAACTAAAGCAAAAGCTTTGTAACTTCAGCGAAATTAAAACAATTGACCAAGTTAAAACAAGTCAAAACTGGTTAATGCAAAGATTTTATTTTTGATGAAATGATGTCAACAAAATTTTGACTTTTTTATAAATTTTGTAGGTTTAAAACTAGCAGGTCACGAAGTGCAAAATTCTACGTTTTTTGATACATTGCAAGTTAAATTAAAGAATACAATGACCGTTCAAGATCTTCGGAAGAAAGCCGAAGAGAAGCGCATTAATTTGCGGTACTTTGAAGACGGAACTGTAGGAATAGCATTGGATGAAACAGTTAGCGAGAGCGATTTAAGTGACTTACTAAGCATATTCGGATGCGAAAAAAAGATGGATGAGGTGAATAAAAGGAATTTTAACATATTCGAACATCATAAACGAAAAGCCGAACATCTTGATATCATAAAAACGAATGCGAATTTAAATTTATGTAAATTCCATCGTTCTTGTTTTCATTACATTTATTATCTTTTACAGATATGTCAATCTGATCATATGAAAACTTATGATATAGAAAATAGTGAATTTAAAAGAACTTCAAATTATTTGACTCACCAAATTTTTAACATGTATCACTCAGAAACCAAAATTGTACGTTATATGAAGAGGTTAGAAAATAAGGATTTATCTCTTGTGCACTCAATGATTCCATTGGTAAGTAAAATCGTGCGTGCTTGTCGTTTTCACTGTTTCATATTAGTTTCGAAAATATTTCTTAATATTTTATTTTTAAATATATTTATTTTGCTATTTATTTAAAAGTTCTAATAAAATTTTTCTACTTCGTTAATTTTTGTTTATCTAAACTTGTAACTGTTATACATTACATAAACATCTAAACTTGTCATTTTTATATATCACATAAATGCAATAGTGTATTTTTTTATTCATTTATTTATTATTATTTATTTCTTCCTTAGATCTTTCAATATTACACCAGTTATATAATTACATCCAATAATGTAACCATCTTGTTGACAAATTCGATGTAAAACACTAAAAGTTATGTTACACCTTTTCCTTATAAAAGGATTTTGAGATAAATAAGATACCCTTGTCTGCTTTTTCACTTATTTGTATATAGGTTGTAAGGCATTCAAAAAAATATATATCGTGTGCGTACCTAATAAAAATAATATAGTGCTAAGTAATTTAATTGCAATCAGTGCAGTATCTAATATATTTAATTTAAAAACATTTAATTTTATCATTTTATAACCAACTTTATATTTAAAATTATGTGTTTTGAATGCCGTTTTTAATATCACTTTAATATATAGAGCAATGAGCAACATTTCGGCAATATTGAATATAATAATAAACATATAAGGAAATCAATACTTTATGGCATTATGCTTTTCATTTCATAACATAATATAATTTAATTCGCAGATTTTTTGAAAAACCATTTTTTACCTTTTGATTCCTATTGTAAATTGTTACACTAGTAGAAATTCAATTGAATGTTCAGTCGTTGTTCCCAAAACCTGGAAGATCCACTAATAGCAACAAATATATACTACACATAAAAAACATATACATACATTTTTTTTGAGATATGCAAAAATGAACAAAAAATTTGGAAACGTGAAAAAACAATTTTTTTTGCGATTTCAATAACTCACCATGAGTAGGAATTATGTGTACCCAGAATTCTGTATATACGGTTATCTTAAGATATCCTGAAAGGTATATACGCCATGTGTAAAAGTCAAAAATATTTTTCAAAATTTCTTTGAGAAACCAATTTATATGGTTGAGATGATGCAAATCTGCGAAAAACATGTAAGATTAGTAAGAGGTTTATTTTATCGAACTCAACATTTATAACCACTTGAACCGTTGGTTTAAGAAACCTTAATTTTCTTGCAGAACCATTCAATATATAGATCTATGTAACCCCTATTTATCTATATTCTACTAGTCCATTAATGACTTAAAGCTATGAATGCATATAGTACATAATGTTTGTACTTACAGATAAATGTTAATCTTATAGGGTTCCTGTACAATGAAATTGAATTCTACTACTGAAATGATGCCATGCTCGTTTCAACATTTCACAGAAGTGCATCCATTCGCACCACGCGAGCAGGCTGCAGGATACCACTTCATGTTCAAAGAGCTTGAGAAAGACTTGTGCGCCATCACGGGATACGATAGAGTTTCTTTTCAGCCAAATAGGTGAAATACAATCAGTCCCATAAATCATCTCGAATATTGCATTATTTTCCATTTTTTATTTGAATTTTCTATACTTTCAGCGGTGCCCAAGGTGAATATGCTGGCTTAAGAGCAATCAAAGGTTATCATGAATCCTTAGGTGAGGGGCACAGACACATATGTTTGATACCCGTTTCCGCCCACGGTACTAACCCCGCCTCGGCTCAAATGGCTGGCATGAAGGTACTTCAACAATAATATTAATAATATTTAGCTAATTCAGAAGAAAAATATAAACTAGTGGGGCGCATGGCATCGTGCCTTAAGGAAAATTGCTGGAACTTCCCGTATCAAAAATTATTATTTTTTTAAAAACTATTAACATTTTTGAAAAAATTTTACTTTGAAAAAATTAGATTTTTGAGAAACTATAAATTTGACAAAAAATTACTTTTTTTGAAAAAAAAAATTATTAAAAAAAATGTTTTCTTTTTTGACATATTTTGGAAATTCTGAACTTTTTTTCAAAGCAATCTTATTGCTTTAACTGCATAGAGACGAAATGTCAAAGCGCGTAAGCGCCGCGTTGCCGTCTAACGGATTAACATTGGTACGGTACCCATAGGAATGTAAACAAAATTTATACTTATTGTTAAAATCTCTATAAAATATCTGATAATTTGATGTGAACAACATTTTTAACTAACATTTTTTTTACTTTTTTCATTAGATCTCTGAAACCGCTAGACCTGCCTTCGTGAAAATTAATCAATTTTTCATCTTGTCAATACAAGTAAAATGTTTTTTGAATTATTAAAATCGGACGCTCCGTTCTCTTAAAAACTGAGTTACCATTTTTGGCACTTTTTGTCCCGTATCTTCGGAACGGCTAAGCCTACTTTTGCCAAAAACTAATCAGCACGTCTCCTTATCAATACGAATCGAATGTTTTTTGAATTATTCAAATTGGTTGATCGGTGTTCCTGAAATCGTCGACGAAAATTTGTATCCGCACACACACACGCACACACACACACATACACACATACACACACACACACATCCATTTTTTAAGGTATGCCAAAATACTCAGAAACCTTTGAAACGTAAAGATATATAAAAAATTTCATTTTTGATTTTTTTGCGATTGCTATAACTTGCTCTACGGGAAGTTAATTATATTTCATCAGACAAAAATACCAATCTAAAGCGTTATTTAATAAAAAAAATCATATTAGACACCAATAATATAATTTCTATTGTGATATGAAATTTCTATCAATGTGAAATTCAATAAATCTATGAAGATGACTGATGATTTTATTTAGCAATCAATTTAGTTTTGATGTCTAATAAATGTTAAGTTTTTTTCGGAAGGTTTCAAAAATGTTGAAGATCCAATTATTTTTTGTTAATTTGTGCATTTTTCTTTTATACTAATCTTTAGTTGCTTTTCTTGCTTTGTTCTGATGGTCAGAGAAACTATGTGATTACTTGTATTTTGAAGTCACGTGTGAGTGTTTTAGGTGGAACCTATTAAAGTCACGTCGGATGGGCTAGTCGACTTAGATTATTTGAAGCAACAGCTAGAAAAACACAGCAAGAATATATCTTGCCTTATGATTACATATCCATCAACATATGGAGTTTTTGAGGAGACAATTGGCGAAGTTTGCCGTTTGGTGCACTTGCACGGTGGACAGGTATAAAATTTAAATAGACAGTGAGAAACATCGATTTTTAATAGTTATGAAATATAATTAATTTTGTGTCCAATTTTGTTGAAGGTTTACCTGGATGGCGCGAATATGAATGCACAAGTTGGATTATGCAGGCCCGGAGATTATGGCTCAGATGTTTCTCATTTGAATTTACATAAAACGTTTTGTATTCCCCATGGAGGAGGCGGCCCGGGTATGGGACCCATTGGCGTGTGAGTATTTTATATTAATAATTGTACACACACACACATATATATATATATATATATATATATATATATATATCGAAAATTATTCTCATCATTCAGAATTTTGATCAATTTTATTATATAAACAAATTTCCTAAGGCCTATTATATTTTAGATTTTTGTTAAGACCATGAAACTAATCATGGGCTTCACTAATCTCATTATTAAAATCGTAAAATATTTGATATGATTAATTTAATATGATTGAATTTTGAAAATTGGTTCAAGATTTTTGATGAAAACGTTAACGAAATGTTTTGCAATTTTCCGCTAATTGTATATTTTGCTGTCAAACGGGTCAGATAACTTGAAAAGTCGAGAAAACATAAAGAAACACCAAAAAGTTAAAAAGATAATTGTTACTGTAAAATATATTTGTATATATACGATTTTAAACTGCAAATTCAATTGGATGCATGAAGGTCTCAGAAATCTAAAACGTGATAAAAATATCTATCTTATCTATCATAAATCTAGAGCAATAGATATATAAATGCAAAAATATATATCTAATAAAATCTCACTTCCTCCGCGACATTATTATGTTTATTATGCATTATTATGAACATATTATGAATTACGTTTTGTTATTACAGCAAAAAGCATTTAGAACCATTTTTACCTAGTCATCCTGTAATAGACCCATTGGCAGATTTGGGAAACAAAGCTAGTTCATTTGGTGTTGTAAGTGCTGCTCCATATGGATCTTCTTCCATACTTCCGATCAGTTGGGCTTATATAAAGGTACATTTTACAAATGTTTACCAGAATTAAGCATTTTTATTTTAATACTTATTTATTGCATATTATATGCATGTATTTCTTTACTGTTATTTGGTTGTAGACCGTGACATTTTTACTTTAATGATTTGTTATTTTTTGAGCTGCAGCTATTGTTTATTTTACCGTTGATCCGCGTTTTTTCTTAATGGACTAAAAATGTCATATTATGGTCTAACTTAAAATTTAATTACATATTTTTTTCTTTTTCTCGTAAATAATAAATTTCATAAATAGTTTTTGGTAAATCTCAAGTCATTAAAATTATTGTTAAAATAATATAAAAAATAATAATTAATATTTTAATTAATTGTTCAGATGATGGGAGCAGATGGACTTCGTAAGGCGACGCAAGTTGCAATACTTAACGCAAATTATATGAGCAAAAAGCTCGAACCATATTATAAAACTTTATTTAAAGGTGATAAAAGCAACCTTTGCGCACATGAATTCATATTAGATGTGAGGGATATTAAGAAAACTGCGAATGTTGAAGCAGTCGATATTGCAAAACGTCTGATGGACTACGGTATGTACAATAATCGCACAAATTGCGATTCGATCAAATTGACAAGGCAAAGAATATATAAAATATTCTAGATACTTTTATAGCGGGTTTTTGTTAATACTTGTGATTGCACATTTCTACACTAGTAGCACCTTAAGGAGTAACACCACTGAAATAGCCCAAAAAACGTGTTTTGGGCATTTTTGGTGAAAGAAAAAGTAATAAAATTCTGATAGTAGAGCAAGTTCATTTGGTGTATATTTAAATAGGAATAAAAATTATTATAACAAGATATTCAAAAATGAAGGCACCACTGCCACTTCTGCGAGACACGTAAAATTTGGATTTGCACGTAGAATTTAGATTTGCATAAAATTTTGATTTTTACGAAAAAGGACTTATAAAAAAAATAATGCTTATAAACTAACCTTAATTTTTAATGATTAAATTAACATATCAAAAATTTCCTACACACTTTTCTTCAAAACCTTATTTTAAAAAATTAGAACAAACAAATTTGAATGAAAATTGTTAGAGATTCATCAGCGTTCGGTATGAAAAATCGAGTTTTGAGAAAAACTTGGGTGAGTTCAAAATTACGAAAAAATAATACTTTGAGGTATGAGATATTTTTTCATATATTCTAAGAGTTTCAACTTTTTTAGACTAAAAAATCGTTTGTTCCAAACATTTACAGTGATAATGTGCTCAATTAATAATTAAGATTTGATCAAGAGCATAACATCTATCATATATTATTAGTAGATAATAAATATTAAATTCGACAACATTTCGAACATTTAGATATTTATTGTAATAATATGCTTCAGAAAAATGTATTTTTAACCTAAGCACTTAAATCTAATAAGATATCGTTTTTATTTTATATGAATTATAACATTAGATATTGATAACAAAATTAATTAATAAATTCAAACGTTGAATAGGATTTCACGCACCTACCATGTCTTTCCCTGTGACCGGAACTTTGATGGTTGAACCCACAGAGTCGGAAGACAAGGAAGAACTCGATAGATTTTGCGAAGCACTCATATTAATTCGTAAAGAAATAGCATTAATTGAGGAAGGAAAATTAGATAGACAAAACAACCCATTAAAATTATCTCCACACACACAACGACAGGTTACAATGGAAAATTGGACAAGAAAATATTCAAGAGAAATGGCAGCTTTTCCAGCGGTTTGTTAATTTTAAACTAATAATTTAACTATAAATTTTCTTTAAAATTATTTTTATGATTGGATAATTTATATATATATATATATATATATATATATATGTGTGTGTGTGTGTGTGTGTGTGTGTGTGATATGTGTATGCGCATATATTTGATATGAAAGTAATATATTTATTATTTACAGCCGTTTGTTAATCCGGAAACTAAAATTTGGCCAACTGTTGCCAGGATAGATGATATCTATGGAGACAAAAACTTAGTATGCACGTGCCCACCAATGTCATCCTACACATAAATTATTAATATTCAAACTAGAAAATTGCCACAAATTGAACATAATAATACTAAAATAATGCATACTTCAACATAAATCATAAAATGCTAATAGTAACAAATGATAAAATTTGGACCTACCACCATTATTTGTTGTGGAACTAATTGAAATTTATTAAGCATGCTTCAATCTCTCGTAGGTTTTTGATATGCGATAATTACTTATTTATTTTTATAATAAAAACAAATGTTTCTCAGAGTTTGTCGATTTGTTTAAATTTTACTATTTTCAGTCATGTTTTTCAATCATGTTGGATCGAAACTACCCAGTAAACAATACATGTTGCCGTAATGAAACTTGTGAGTTACAAAGTTATATAACAAATGTTAACTAAAATTTACATAAGCGCAATGTAACTTTGAGTTAGAAAGTTATATAACAAATGTTATCTAAGTGTAATATACGCGCAATATATATCGATAGTTACAATGTTACATAACAAATGTTAACAAAGTAAGTGTAATATACGCGCAATGTATATCAGGAGTTACAAAGTAATGTACTATTGTTACCTTATATAATAAATGTGCAATGTTTTGTTAGAAAATATTTTCCACAATTTTCTCGACGTTTCTAGTCATTCTGGGTCGAATTTGGAAATTTGAAAAAAGTATAAGTGTGTGATGTGAGCCGACTTTTTTCAAAAATGGCTGGGCCGATTTCAAAAATTTAAAAGCCATTTCATGAAACTCTATGACGACTTGCGTTGATTAGATTTTCGAGAACGATCGGCCAAGAATTAACAGAAAAGTGCTAAAAATTATGTCCACGAAAGTGATCCGTTAATCTTACGTTTTTATTTCAAACGAGACTGATGCTTAACTTAAGAATTGTTTCGATTTTTGCTACCCCGAGACCTCACGCGTCTTTATTTATAGATTATCTTCATTTTTTTTTTCTAAAGCAATAATTTTTGTATTTCATCTATATGAATTTGGGCATAACAACGCTTTTTGTAGTTTACACCAATATCGAATCGTTGAATTGATTAAATTTCATAGAGCTTACAAGTGTGTCTTGTAAGTGAATATTTATTATAAAATTGTCAAAAGTACCATTTGGTGATGTTGGTTGGAGATCTGACGTATTTTTGCTTTGCCGTAAATAGTTTTTCAAAAAAAATATAGTTGTTTAAAGTTTTTTATGTTTTTTTATAATGTCAATTTACTATATAGGAGATCTTAGATCTTTAATTCATGTTGTTGTTCTGGGATAACATGAGAAACTAACTTAAAAATCTTTAAAGACTTTTATAGCTTTGGAACAAAAATATTTATATATTTTCTTAACTATAAAATTTGGATTAAAATCCGATATCGATAATTATGTATAAATAATCTTACATTTTTTAAAACATTTATCTTTTTTATGAACTTTTATAATACTTTAAGTAATAAGTTACATATGAGTGACAAGTGTGTGTTATAGAGTTCCTCTAATACGAAAGTGTACAACCAAATATTCAACTAAGCACATAATTGCATCGATCATGCTGATTAGTTTTTGGTAAAGATCGGCCGGGCGGTTTCTTGTGATTAAATGTTAAAAATTTATTTTGTTTTTAATTAGAATTAACATGGTAACAGGGTTTATGTTCTAAAGAAACAAATATTCGAATATATATATATATATATATATATATATATATATATATACACATCATATATATATACAGTAGAACCTCGATTATCCGGACCTCGGTTATACGGATTCGCGATTATCCGGACATAATCGCGTCGGAACTTGCATATTCTGATGTGCATATATACATTAATACATTCTCTGTTTTAACGTGCATACATACATTTTTAAAGGGTGGTGTTATCCCTTAAAGATAAAATAAATGTTATAGAATCATTGAAAAAGGCGAAACCGGCCGTAAGTTAGCTTATAGGTATGGTGTAGATATAGATACATCCACTATAAGCGATATTAAAAAGAATGCCGATTCAATTTTGTCGTACACTTGCAAGTTAGATTGTAAAGAGGGTAGTGAAAATCGGAAAATGGTGAAGAGACCGAAAAATAAACTCTTAATATAATATGTATAATGTAATCTAAGTAAATATGTAAGTGTTAATTTTCTAATAAACATCGATTTTTATTGATATCTAGGTATGCATTTGTTATTTTTGATAAACAAAACATTATGCTTCATAATTTGGATTATCCGGATTTTCGATTATCCGGATGCCCATCGACAACAATTAGTCCGGATAATCGAGGCTCTACTGTATATATATATATATATATATATATATATATATATATATATATATATATATATATATATATTACGAAGCATGTGCTCCCACTGATTTTAAAACAGAGCTGTAGTTTCTATTCAATGCTATATTTTTTTTTTAATTTAAATTTTGGGCAGTATAGTAATACTGATTAAAAAGCTTATTTATCAATGTGTAATAATTTACTATATTCAATATTTAATTAAAAAATATTCAACATTAATATGCTCGAGATGAACATAAACAATAAAGAACTATATAATTTAAAATATCAAACACAATATCTATTATATGTCATTCATTTCTAACTTATATTAAAATAAATATAACAAAATTAATGTTCATGTAAATCAGGTTGTCGAAATCGTTGTTCTTTATCTTTGTTGCTAACATGTTCTTTTAGCAATTTCATAATGTTATTATCAAACTCATTTGGTACAGGCTTGTGTCCAGTCGCCCAATAATAAATATCCCAATCATTTAGTGGTAAATTTATGAGCTTATCATACTCTTCTGTTTCTTCTATTGTCATGCCATTCAAATATTTAGCTGCAAATGTGCTTAGCAATAAGCAGTTTTCTAACATTCCACGTTTGCGTGATTGATATAAAAGCCTGGCCTTTTTCTGGTTCAAAGATTCATCCCTTTTAATATTATACTGAGGGATTGGAGGCATTTTAGAGTCATCTACTTCCAATGATTCAAATTCTGGTGTCTTTGTTGCACATAACATTCGAAAAACAATGGGGACATTTTGAAAAAATATGCTTGTTCTACAATTTCTCGCAGCTATCATGGACATTGCTAATACTTCAAAAAATTAGTTTTCAACTAAAATAGAATAATATAAGTAACAAAAATGTTGGTCTTTCATTTAATAAAAGAACTCATAAAATAATGTCTCTCAGATAACTTTATTGAACATCTAAAAATCTTTAAAGAGAATGATATGTAGTGCAATATATTTTTCGAAATCGTATATATATATATATATATATATATATATATATATATATATATATATTCTTTTTCGAACAACAATTTACGATTAGAACTTTTAGTGGTAAAAATATTATCGAATAAAACTTATTATACTTCTGAATTTTAGAGTCCAATGTTTTTTATATATAATCATTTTCTAATTAATTTGTTTTACGAACCTGATCTACAAAAAGAAATATTGCACGGCCCAGAGATTTTGATTTTACATAACCTCGACTGACAAAACAAAACACTGACATAATGACAGGCTGACAGATGACAGTTGACAAACAGACATACTAAAATAGTTATACACAAATACATGCACATAGATAAGTACACATTTTGGTTATACACATAGATAAAGGAAGAGTATAAACAAGTATAAACATATTAGTATAAAACATACAAACATATTATACTTATTTATCTATGCATATTACTCTTCTTTTATCTAAGCATATTAGTATATTGTCTAGGAATGAAAAATCTGGATATGTGTGTGTGTGTGTGTGCGGATACAAATTTTCGTCGACGATTTTGGGAAGACCGATCAACCGATTTAAATAATTGAAAAAACATTCCATTCGTATTGATAAAGAGACCTGCTGATTAGTTTTTGGCGAAGGCAGGTCTAGCCGTTCCGAAGATACGGGGCAAAAAGTGGCAGAAACGGTACTAGCTTTAATAGATAAAAGAAGAGGATAGAGATCGCTTTTAAAATAACGGAGCGTCCGATTTTAATAATTCAAAAAACATTTTACTTGTATTGTCAAGATGAACTGATGATTAAATTTTTGGGAAGGGCGGTCTAGCGGTTATGGACTCTCAATAAAATAAGTTAAAAAAATGCTATTTGGTGGTCACAAATATTCATTAAACAAATTAAAGTAAATTTTTTTGGGTTTCGTACCAAGATTTTTAATTTTGAAGTTCATTTATATGGTTCAAACAAATATCCTCGACATTTTCGATAGTATGGAATACCCGATTTGTATCATTGAAAAAACATTCGGTTCGTACGCAAGGCATTTTTGCAAAAGGTACATCTTATCCTTCCGGAGATATGGAGCGCAAAGGGTGTAAAAATGTTCATGCTGCTTTTGAAAGAACGGATCATCCGATTAGATTAATTCAAAAAACCTATTGCTTGTGTAGATGGTGTGCAAAAAATGGTTTTACAAAAAATTTCGTAGTTTTGAAAATTTTCAAAAAACTAACATTTTTGAAATTTTTCATAATCTGGAAATAAAATCTAAATTTCAAAAAATTTGAAAAATACCGAAATTTAAAAAAAAAGATTACTTACAAAATGTCTTTATAATAAATAATCTATTTGAAATTATTCAAAACAATTATTGATTATTTTTATTCCTCAAATTTTTAATTATGGTAGGGAAGTTTCAGCTAATTGCCTTAAGGCACAATGCCATGCGCCACTAGTTTTTTTTTCAAAACGATAATTTTATTCAATTGTCTGGAATGGGAAATAATCTCATCAACTGGCAAAAAATTATTCACTGTCAATTTCATTAATGTGGTGAACTTTAACTCACAATATCAATATATGCTCGATAATATATGAGAGTAATGTGGTCCCCTGAAATAGGCATAAATGAATAATATAACATATATTGTAGATCACATATTATACAAAAAAAAATCATTAAAGTTTGCGCATATTGTTTATTAATATGTATACTTAAAAAGGTACACAAATTGGTTATAAAAACAATTACTAAATATTCAAGTTATTGCAGTTACATTTGCACAGAAAACCATTTTCAGCCACAGATTTCACATCCTCAAATATATTAAATTTTTTTTGAAAATCATATTTCATTTTACTTTATTATATCTAGTTTCTCCCTTTTAAAATCATGCATATTCATTTTTGCTTTAAATATATTAATACAATTGTAATTTAATTTAAGTTTTAATTTATTAATCACAAAACCCTTA